ATGCACAAGCAAAACACTCATACATATAAAATAAAAATAAATAAAGGAAAAACCAACACAAAATTTAAAGTAGTTTATGTTTTGATGATGAGATTTGCCAGCTGATGTCTGCTGAGAGGAGAGTCTGTTGTCGTAGAATGACTGTGGTAGGTTGCCATGTTCCAGTGCGTTGGCCCTACACCCAAGCACATATGGGGAGCACTAATGGGATCTTCCTGGAGAGTTTTGTATAAAAACCAAAAAGAGGACGAGGAGGGGTAGAAAGGGGGGGAGGATGGGGAAGCATGAAGTTGGGAGGAGGATGTGATGGAGGTGATCTTGGAAGAGGTGGAGGCAGGGAGATAGGGAGGGTATGATCTAAATACATGACATTCATGTATGAAATGACCAAAGAATAAATAAAAAATAAATTCAACTTTAAAAATATTAAATAAGGAACGTTTAAATACAGAGCAGTAGTATATGGCTGGAGGATTCTCTTTTCTTCCTTCTCTCCTTCCTTTGTCCTGCCACCTTCCCTTGCTCCATCCCTTTCATCCTCCTTTCTTCCTTCCCCTCTCTTCCTTTTCTCTCTTCCTCCCTTCCTCCCTCCCTCCCTCATGTCCTTCCTTCTTTAATCAGCAAAGACACGCTCTCTCTAAAATGTTCTTAAAACTAATATTCTTTAGGGTAACACTCTGTCTCTCTTGATCTGCTTTCCTCATAAATGCATGCATTCACAGGACATGAAGCTTCTTTAAGCAAATATATGGAGGATCCACTAAGACCAGGGTATATGAATGAGGAGTCTAGAAAGGTCTAGAAGGGGAGAGCAAATGAAGAAGAGATGGAATCTGTTTTTATAGAAACTAGAGCTGGCTTATGAAGAGAAACATGAGTGACCCTTGTGTTTATAAAGATAACCCCTGAATTCTGTAAATATTTAATTTTCCTTGGGTTTTAAAAGAGTTTATAACACAAAAATGTTAAGAAACATGGAGGAAGGTGGGGTAGAAAGACAGTAAGAGCTGGAAGATTGGGCAAAGGGCTGTGAAACACCATCTTCTGGGCACAGCCATTACACGTATGAAGTCATAGCAGATGTAGGCACTGCACAATCTGTGGACAATCAGTCACGAATGGGGAGGGGCTCACTGGGTCCTACCCCTCTCTTCTGAATTATTGGCAGGTTCTGAGAGGTTTTGTGAGAGGGGGAGTCATTGGCTTCAGTCACATACTCACTGGTGAACCCTAGGTGTTCTGATGGATAGTTCACACAGAGGCCCTGATTCAGCTCAGTGGGCCACAAAACAAAGAAATTTGTAGGGAGGAGGGGGGGTAGTGACAGGGTTAACAAGATGCAAAAGGGTCGGGGGGAGTCATTGGAATATATATATATGTATAAAACTGTCAAAGAATACATTTAATTAATTAAATATTGATTAAAGAGCCAAAAACATTTCTTTAAATTCCACAATGTGGAGCCTACTATGTTGCTCCCCCATTGGGTGACCCATTCCAGTCTCTCCTTGGGGTGCTTGCTTGGCTTAGACTGGGTGACTACATTTCTACTTCCTTACTTTTACTCGGCTTCTGTGGCTTTCCTTTGCTCAAATTTTAAAAAAGACAGAAAGGAAGGAAGGAAAGAAGGGAGGAAGGAAGGGAGGAATGAGGAAAGAAGGAAGGAAGGAGGAGGAAGGAAGGAAGGAAGGAAGGAGGAGGAAGGAAGGAGGGAGGGATGGAGGGGGGAGGGAGGAAGGAAGGAAGGAAGAAGGAAGGAAGGAAGGAGGAAGGAAGGAAGGAAGGAAGGAAGGAAAGAAGGAAGGAAGGAGAAGGAATAGGGAAGGAAGAAGGAAGGAAGGAAGAAAGGAAGGAAGAAGGAAGGAAGGAAGGAGGAAGGAAGGAAGGAAAGAAGGAAGAGGGAAGGAAGAAGGAAGGAAGGAAGAAAGGAAGGAAGGAAGGAAGGAGGAAGGAAGGAAGGAGGAAGGAAGGAGGAAGGAAGGAAGAAGGAAGCAAGGAAGAAGGAAGGAAGGAGGAAGGAAGGAAGGAAGAAGGAAGGAGGAAGGAGGAAGGGGAAGAAGGAAGGAAGGAGGGAGGGAGGGAGGAAGGAAGGAAGGAGGAAGGAAGGAGGGAGGGAGGAAGGAAGGAAGGAAGGAGAAAGAAAGGATTACAGTGACACCTTTTTTGTTGCTGTTCCACTGAATACTCTTGAACTGTTCCTTAGTTAGAATTGTTCAAAATTTATTTTCTCTGTATCTTATCCCAGGCATTTGTGAGACAAAGAAACTTGTTCCTGGTGTCATAGGAAAACCTAGTACTTTCCAGAGACACCCAACCCCACCTCCTTTCCTAGTCAGAAATTTGTAGATTGCTCATTTGGAGGTGGCTTCACATACTACTTTGTTCATGTACTTTATTTTGTTAATAAAAACAAATTATCTGAAACATTCAGCAATGTCCTGGAAGGCTTACCAAAAAGCTGGATCTGCAAACAAGTGATTTTTACATTATAGCCTATATTCAAATTTAAACATATCATACTGCTGTCAAAAATGAAGAATAAAATAACTAATCTAATTTAGTGAAACCTTTTGGACATTTCTGCGGGTTTTTCAAAAGGTCAGTGTGGATCTACTATTATTACTAAAAACATGACTGAGTTGAAAATAATTGCCCTGTTACTGGAGATAGAAGGCTAGCTTACCCTTCACCAGTGTCACACATCTGGCTGGGGAAAGAGTTCAGGGCACTTGAAACTAAAGGTTTTTCTGATTTCACCTGCCTTTCTTCTAGTCAGCAAACAGTGATTCATTATGTTCTTCAGAAAGAGACTCTTGTTCCTATTTTTGAGTGCTGTGTGCTGCTGTTTATAACACTGCCAGAGAGGGCTACTTTGTGTACGCTGGGAACTTGGACCAGGTGCTCAGGCCAAGGACAATACAGTTCACCCTGAAGCAAACTTTGCACCTGGTATGTGTTGTTGAAAGTATCCTAGCAGTCTATACTTCTTGACACATTTTTGGGTAGAAGCAGAGCAAAGTGAGTGGTAATATATGGGACAGAGTTCAAGAATGTAGTTTAAAGGAAAGATGCTGTTAAGTATTTAATGAAGGGCCATCTCTGAAGAATTGAAGCCTTCCCCACCTTTTACTAAGGTTCTGTGGAAATTGAAGAGACATGGGATCTAGAACTTTATGGAGGGGCATTTGTGAAGATATTGAGAAAAACTGAGATGGTTGGATTGACATTTTGTTGTGTTGTTTGTACATAAATTGTATTTCCTATCAAGGAGTTTAGGCTTAAATTATTTTCCTCATGTTCCTTTCATTCAAATCGACCTGCACTCAACTGGCCTCCAATTCCTGCTAATAGTATAGATGAATATCACTGAAGGTCATTCCAGTACCTCCACAGTGTTCTCTATATCTATCGTAATATCTAATGTTTTAAGTTAAACATTCTCATGTAATTTAAATAAAAGTTGGTCATTACCTCTAAAATTATGAAAGTGATTTTGTAAGGCCTCCTGAGCAATATTTTATACAAAGTAGAAGTCTCTAGTAAGCCAGGAAAAAAGTCAAAATAAAGTTGTATTTCTATAATTTATGATTGAACATATCAGATGTTATAATATTTAATCTCCATAGTCAACTTGATTTAGAATACTCGTGGAGACCAACATCGGAGCATGTCTGTGAGAGAGCTTCTAGGTTCAGTTAACTGACGTGGGAAAACAACATCCTAACTGTGGGGAGCACTGTTCTATGTGCAGGCCTGTGGACTGAACAGAAAAGACAACTGAACACTAGTACTCAATCTTCTCTGCTTCCTGGCTGTGATCAGAGTGGGCAGCTACCACCCTCTCCAGCCATTACACCTTCCTTTCTGCCAAGATTGACTGTATCCTTCAGTACTGTAAGCCCAAATAAACATTTTCTCTCTAATGTGGCTCTTGTCATATATTTGGGCACAGCAACAAGAAAAGTAGCTATCAGAGATGTAAACCAACATCTCAGTTCTGTAAGGCCCATTGGCTTTTTGGTTAAACTTGAAACCAGCTACAGATTTGTGCTTCGGCAGGAAAGAGTTAACTCACGAGGCTTGGGTTTCTAACACTCTGCACATTCTCCCAAGAAGCATACAGGACTGGTTCTTGGCTGATTCCTGGAGCAAACTGCTGAGTTCTGCTTGCTCAAGAGGATGAGTGTTTTTTTTGTGTGTGTGTGTGTTTTGTTTGTTTTTTCATGTCTAATGTCTTGGGCCAGGTGGTATCAGTTTGACCAGATAATTTATGGCATTAATATAATTTATAGCACACCCTTGCTTTAGGTCTGGGGTGATGTTACCTTATGAACAGGTGAGGTATGAAAGAGCCTTTAAAGAAAGCGGAAGGTGAGAAATTTTAAAAGACTGAAGAAAGGAAGACCACGAGTGAAAATCTCGACATGCAGCCTGAGGCAGGAGTTTGATGCAATTTTGGTATAGCTATGAGCTGAGGAGGAACTACTCTGGGAATCCACAAATCCCACTTCAGAGTTCACCGATAATGCTGTAATGGCTAAAAAAAAATCCAGAGCCTGTATATTCACAGTTAAGAGGTCATTGCAGCAAACAGATTTGTATCAAGAGAGGAAAGGGGCATATAGGACAAGTCGAAGATGATTTAATGTAGGCCTCCAGATGATCCCTCCCTAGAGACTTGCATAGAGTACATAGGGTGCTCTTAATTTTTCAGCAATTAATTTGTAACAACAGAGGCAAAGTGTGTCAACCAAGGAGATCACTACTCATGCCTGGTGTCCAGGTCTTTTACTAGGGGTCAATTACAAAACATGCTGCAATCATACAGCTGACCCCACCTGTTCATAAGGTAACATCACTCACTATGTAGACCAGGCTGACCTGGATCTCACAGAGATCCCCCTGCCTCTGTCTCCTCAGTGCTGCAACTAAAGGTAACATTGTGATTTATTTTTATATAAGGTTCTTAAACCTCTTGAAGAAAAAACAATGGTCAACAATTTTGCAACAGAAATTTATTGATTATTTTGCAACATTAGTTACAACACATGATTACATCCAGTATTTGTGCTTTGTAGGAAAAGTAAACAGTTATTTGAGCACAACAAAAGTCTACACACAATATTCTGGAATTGTTTAAAAAATAAATATATCCTTTTCCATTTATTACCACAAAGAAGCACAGTTCAGTTTGAGGTGATAGACAGTCTTCAAAATCTTGTTCAGGTGTTAAATTAAACATACAACTTAAATTTGGACCATCTGTGTCACACATGCCAAGTGGGTTCTGGAAGAGTCCTGTCATGGGTTGGTGGGGGGAAGAAAGTACAACTTCCAAGGAAGCTTCCTTGGCATTTTAAGATGTGGTTAATAGAACAAGAAAGGTCGCATTAATGGCATGGCACCGTATTCTAATTTAAAATTACTTTGTAAGTTTTAAAAATAAAGCAAAAGCATGATATCTTAGAAGATATGTAATGCACATCTCTGATTTAGAAAATAAAAGCAGGTGTGGCTTATTTAGTTAAAACTGAAGAAGACTTGTTAGGGGCATGTAGATACTTTTATTTTTCAAAAAGGTACATCTCTGTTTTTAAATTTTTAAAAATGTGATAAAGGGCCAGGAATGGTGGCATACGCCTTTAATCCCAATACTCGGGAGGCAGAGGCAGGAGGAGCTCTGTGAGTTCAAGGCCAGCCTGGTCTTCGTAGTGAATTCCAGGACAGCTGGGGCTACAGGGTGACCCTGTCTCAAAAAAGACCAAAAACAATGTGATAAAGGCTTCTATTTCCCAAAATCAGGGTGACTATCACCTAGCCAGGAAGTCAGCATTTCAAATTGGTCCTGGCAAGCACAAGGTCATTACCCTGAATTCGTCATTCTAGATGTCAGCCACACAGGTGTCAACACGTCCATTGTACATCTAACCACCAAGCTTCATGTAGCAAGGACCTTTAGGCAACAGTCTCTTCATGTTGTATGAGGCTTTAAGCTAACTCAATATATTATTTAGATAATCTTGTCATCATTTACAATAAAAATAAAAGTTCATACATATATAATTCAATACACAGACACATTTTTATCCCAAAAGGCTATTTATTACTTATTTTATTTTAAAGAAAGCTATCCTGTAGGCAAGAATTCCATAATGATTTTACCCACGTGATAAGTACAGTGACAGAAGCAAGGCAGCTTCAACGCCCTCTTACTGCATCGGATGTCATTTGTTTTCTGCTTAGTGAGGAGCTTAGTGGTCGGGAAGAAATGCAGTATTCATCATCTTCTGCGAATGAATGAAATCAGCCCAATAGTGGACATCGATATCCTATTGGATGTTTGTTACTATCTATCTATACTGGTCTGAGAGTGGAAATCTTTTACATAAAGCCCTAGAAATTTTCAATCGTTTTGCAAGTACTTCCTTGGGTGGAGAGCCCCTTTATCTGCTCAGGAAAATGCAATTAAATTTGTAGCATAGTTGAAAGAATTAGTATGACAATGGGTTTGTTTTTGGTTGATTTCACATAATTGGAGATATTGCATGTCATTCTATATTATTATACATATCTGAGTCTAGCTGTCCTGGATTCTGGGCTGGTTGTGAGTTTTCTAATTTGGACCACATTGAAGCATCTCTTTTTGAAGCCATTAGAAATACAAGTCCTTTGGGACATGCCCACAGGTGGCATTGATTAGCACAGACCTATATTTTACTTTCCTTCAGATTTATTCCATGTGCATGGTACAGGAGCAGTAGATTTTTAAAATATTTCTGCTAATGGGATGCAGTGTATTGAGAAAGTTCAGAGCATTTAGCGCAAACCACTGTAATCTAAGCTGGAATGAAGGAAGGAAACGCCATGGGGCACAGTTGACTTATCCCAGTTCCAGGAGCCAATCAAAGAGACTCGGGGTGCCCTCTTTCTGCTCTGCATGCACTTTGCAGTATTGGACAACTGCATGAAATATGTCCCCGACCTTCCAGGACTTCTGATGAACCAGCCGCACAACATCTAGAAACTAAAATAAGACACAGAGTTAGGAATCACACATTACAGCATTCTCACTGAACAACAGCTACTTATTGAACAACTCTTCCAAAGACCCGGGTGGGGTGGGGCGGGGTGGGGGTGGAGTGGATCAAGGTAGAGGGGAGTAAATAGGTCTATGTTTGAGCATTGTCTACTCTTAGGGGACCGTTTATAAAGACATGCTATTTTCTTTTTAGACATTTCAGATGATGAATGAATTCCTTCCACTTGGTAGTTCTATTAATATTAAAGGGCAGAGGGCTAATTCTTCTGAAAGTCAATCTTTTAGGTATTTAAGGTTCCTTCAATTTTGAGTTTATCTGCGTTAGTCATCTTGTGTTAGGACCATATAATAAATAATTTCTCTCTGGATATCATATTAAGTAAAATGATTTAAGTACTAAGCTTTAAGAATTAAGTACTAAACTTCCAGGTAGGGAATCTTACTATTTCCTCATTCAGTTATAAGAAAGGCACCTCTCCCTCCCCATGCTGAGGTCAAGCATCAAGAAGTTTTTTCTGTAGAAATAGGTAAAGGAAAGTGAGGAAGTGTCCTAGATTTGTCAGCTGGTATTGGTACCCGCTCCAACTGGGCATAAGCTAGAGATCTATAGACTACAAGAGACTATGGAGCTCAGGAGATGGGGAAATCTCTACATGGTCATTCTATTCAACAAACCATGGTGAAGTTCACTGTAAAGAGCGCTCTAGCACCTTTAGTCAGATACTTTCAGATTGGGAAGTAACAATTGATACGATCAAGGGACTAGGAAAGCATTTTGGTACATGTCAATACTTTTTGAAATCTTTCCCCATTCTAGTGAAAAGGTTGCAGAGAAGGATATTTACTCAGAGCATGACCAGAGATGATACACTGTGTAGTGTTTTATGAGGAAAAAAGCCCTGTTTGTTAAAAACATGAAGAATACAGTTTTGTTTTTGAAAATAGTTTCTTGTAGCTTCCTAGGATAGTTTTACTCTGCTTTTTTAAAAAATTATTTAATAACCACATGATTAGAAGC